GAAGATCCTGGAACAACATATACATCAAGCTCTGAAAGAAAATGGATGCAACCAAGAATCTTATATCCAGCAAAATTAAAGCTTTAGATTGGATGATGAAATAAAAGCCATCCATAATAAACAAAAGTTAAAAGATTTTACAACTCAAAAGCCTGCACTACAGAACATCCTCAGCAAAATATTCCATGAAGAGGAATTGAAAAACAACAATGAAAATCAGCAAAGGGAGGTATTACACTAAAGGAAAAACTAATCAAAGGAGAAATCAAGTCAAGTTTAATAACAAAAACAAACAAAAAAATGGCTGGGAATACAAATCCTGCCCCAATAATAACCCTGAATGTTAATGGCCTAAACTCACCAATCAAGACATAGACTGGCAGATTGGATTTAAAAAAAGACCCAACAATATGCTGCCTCCAGGAGACTCATTTCACAGGAAAGGACATCCACAGACTAAAGGTGAAAGGTTGGGAAAAATCATACCACACACATGGACTGTGGAAGGAAGCCGGGGTTTTCATCCTCATATCAAATAAAGTAGACTTCAAGCCAAAGTTAATAAAAGGGATAAAGAAGGATATTTCACACTGCTTAAGGGAACAATTCATCAAAAAGACATAACAATAATAAATTAATATGCCCCAAACAATGGAGCATCTATGTTCATCAAACAAACTCTTCTTAGATTCAAGAGTCAAATACAACACAATAATTCTGGGTGACTTTAACACACCCCTTTCCCCACTGGATAGATCTTCCAAACAAAAGCTGAACAAAGAAACTGTAGAACTCAATAATGCAATCAATAACTTAGACTTAACTGATGTATATAGAATATTTCATCATTCAATGAACGAATACACTGTCTTCTCAGCCGCACATGAATCCTTGTCTAAAATAGACCATATATTATGCCACAAAGCAACTCTTAGCAAATATAAAAAAAGTAGAGATACTACCCTGCATTCTATCAGATCATGATGGAATAAAATTAGAAATCAATGATAAAATAAAAAATGAAAGCTACTCCAACACCTGGAGACTAAATAATATGCTACTGAGTGAACAATGGGTTGCAAAAGACATCAAGGAGGAGATTAAAAGATTCTTAGAGGTAAATGAGAACACAGACACGACATATCAAAATCTCTGGGACACTATGAAGGCAGTACTAAGAGGAAAGTTCATCGCATGGAGTTCATTCCTTAAAGGAAGAAACAGTCAACAAATAAATGACTTAACATTACATCTCAAAGTCCTAGGAAAAGAAGAACAAATCAGCACCAAAGCAGTAGAAGACAGGAAATAATTAAAATCAGAGCTGAAAGCAATGAAATTGAAACAAAAGAAACAAATGAAAAAATTGACAAAATAATTTGAAAAAAATTAAATAAAATTGACAAACTCTTAGCTATGCTAACAAAGAGAAGGAGAGAGAAAACTCAAATCACCAACATACATGATGAAAAAGGAAATATTACAACAGACACTGCAGAAATGCAGAATGTGATTAATAATTATTTTGAAAACTTGTACTCCAATAAAATAGAAAATATCAAAAGCATTGACACATTTCTAGAGTCAGATGATTTGCCCACATTGAATCAGGATGATATACGAAATTTAAACCGATCAATTTCAAGTGATGAAATAGAAGACGCCATCAGAAGTCTACCTACCTAGAAAAGCCCAGGACCAGATGGAAACACAGCCAAGTTCTATAAGACCTCCAGCAGGGTTCTTTAAAGAAGAACTAATACCAACACTCTTCAATTTATTTCAGGAAATAGAAAAAGAGGGAGCACTTCCAAACTCGCTCTATGAGGCCAATATCACCCTGATTCCAAAACCAGGCAAAGACACTTTTGTATATTAGTGACAAATCCTCTAAAAGAAAAACAAACAAACAAAAAAAACTACCCCATTTACAATAGCCTCAAAATAAATAAATAAATAAATACTCAGGATGGTTAGCTCTTGTTGGTAAGGTGTGTGCTGTAATTGAGTGTAGAAGGCATTGATGGTGTCTGTCAAACCTGAGCACCCTTCCACCACTCAGGGCCCATCCTGCAGAAACCCTAATGGTCTTTCTTATTAAGACCAATATCTCTAATGAACAGAGATGCAAAAATTCTCAATAAAATTCTGGCAAATCAAATACAAAAATATAACAATAAGATCATGTACCACAATCAAGTGGGATTCATCCCAGGGATGCAAGGTTGGCTCAACATATGGAAATCAATAAATGTAATTCATCACATCAATACGATTAATGATAAAACCATATGATCATCTCAATAGATGCAGAAAAATCATTTGACAAAATACAGCACCCCTTTATGTTCAAAACACTAGAAAAACTAGGGATAACAGGAACTTATCTCAACATCATAAAGGCTAAGCCCCAGGCCAACATCATTCTAAATGGAAAAAAAATTGAACGCATTCCCTCTAAAACCTGGAACAAGACAGGAATTCCCACTTCTATTTAACATAGTTCTTGAAACTATAGACAGAGCAATCAGACAAATAAAAGGAATTAAAGGGATACAAATAGAAAAAGAAGAACTAAAATTAGCACTATTTGATTCTATACCTAGAAGCCCCCCAAAATTCCACTAGAAAACTTCTAGAACTAGTACATGAATTCAGCAACGTAGCAGGATATAAAATCAACACCCATAAATAAAAACCACTTCTGTATATCAGTGACAAATCCTCTAAAAGGAAAACAAAGAAAACTACCCCATTTACAATAACCTCAAAACACATACACATATACATACATACATACATACAATACCCAGGATGGTTAGCTCTTGTTGGTAAGGTGTGTGCTGTATTGAGTGGATAAGGCATTTGATGGTGTCTTTCTAACCTGAGCACCCTTCCACCACTCAGGGCCCATCCTGCAGAAACCCAGTTGGAGGCCAAAGTGAGATGAAGCTGGATGTTCATTGCAACAGCATTTCTTTTTTTTAAAAAATGTTGTTTTATTGGTTCTTCTTAGTTGTACATGACAGTATATCCCATTTTGATAAAATTATACAAGTATAGGATGAATCTTAGGCTAATTAAGACCTCATTCTTGAGGTGGGCATGGTGGTGGGACTCACTTAGGTAATTTCATATATATACATAGGAAAAATGTTAGATTTATTCTACTGTCTTTCCTATTCATATCCCCTCCCTTTCTTTTATTCCCCTTTGTCTAATCTACTGAACTTCTCTTACCACCCCCCCACCCTTTATTATAGTTCAGCAAAAACATTGAAAACATTCGAGTTTTGGTTTAGGGGAATTGGCTTATTTCATTTAGCACGAAATTCTCCAAATCCATCCATTACTTTCAAATGTCATAAATTCATTCTTCTTTATGGCTCAATAAGAGTCAGCAAAAACATTGAAAATATTTGAGTTTAGTTTTGGAGGATTGGTTTATTTCATTTAGCACGGTATTCTCCAAACCATCCATTTACTGGCAAATGTCATAAATTCATTCTTTATGGCTCAATAATAGTCCACTGTGTATATATACTACATTTTCTTTATCCATTCTTCTGTTGATGGGCATCTAGTTTGGTTCCACAGTTTAGCTATTGTGAATTGCACTGCTATAAACATTGATGTGGCTGTGTCACTGTATATGCTGATGTTAAATCTAAGCTCTTCATAGCAAAAGAAACAATCAAGAGCATGAATAGAGAACCTACAGAATGAGAAAAAGTCTTTGCCACCTGCCCCTGAGATAGGGGGTTAATTTCCATAATATACAAAGAATTTAAAAAGGTCAACACACACACACACACACACACACACACACACACACACACACACGATAATAATCCAATCAATAAATGGGCAAAGGAACTGAGCAGACCCTTCTCAAAAGAAGAAATATGAATGCTCAAAAGATACATGAAAAAAATGGGCAACATCTTTAGCAGTTTGAGAAATGCAAATTAAAACTACACTGAGATTCCCCTCTCACTCCAGTCAGAATGGCAATCTTCAAAAATACAAGCCACAATAAGTGTTGACACAGATGTGGGGAAAAGCCACACTCATACATTGCTGGTGGGACTGCAAATTGGTGCAACCACCCTGGACAGCAGTATGGAGATTCCTCAAAAAACTAGGAACGGAACCACCGTTTGTCCCAGCTATCCCACTGTTCGGTAACATCATTTCTGACAGTGGACATGCAAACAGAATTGATTATGCATGGATTGAGAATACATTAAACACAATATATTCGTCCATGCAAATGAATGCCAGAAAGCCCTTTGTAAAAGGGTGGTGCTATAGGAATTGACTACAACAATATCAAGAAAACAATCTGCTTTGTATATTCCATTTGTCTAGAAAAATAAATATACATACACACGTGGCATAAAATGGCATTTTAAATTCCTACTGCTGCTGTAATAAATCTCCACAGACTTAGTAACTTAAAACCACATAAATGCAGAGGTTAGATCTGTGGAGGTCAGGAATCCAGACTCCGTTTTTCTGGCTCAAGTCAGGGCATCGGTTCAACTGCTTTCTTCTGGAGGTTCTGAGGAGAGTCCCTTTCCTTTTCCTTTTCAGCTTCTGGTGGTCCCTTCCTCCCCCTTTGAAGGCAGCGCTCTGCTCCCTGCTGCCATCACCTTATCACCTCTGCCCTCTTACCAGGACCGTATGACCACGCTGGGCTGCACTGGATAACTCAGGGGTATCTCCCTTCCCATGATAAGTGTGTGAGTGTGTGCGTGTGAGTGCTTGAACATGGGTGTGAGTGTGTGGGGGTAGAGGCTGTGTGTGCAGGGGGGGAGGAAATAATCCATTTAAGAAGCATCTTATTTTTTATTTCATTATTATTTCGTGGGGGAGGGTATCAGGGATTGAAGTCAGGGTCACTCAGCCACTGAGCCACACCCGGCCTGATTTCGTATTTTATTTAGAGACAGGGTCTCACTGAGTTGCTTAACGCCTCACTTTTGCTGAGTCTGGCTTTGAACTCGTGATCCTGCTGTATGGGCCTCCTGAGCCACTGGGATTACAGGCGTGTGCCACTGCGCCCAGCAAGAAGCATCTTATTTTTCAAAAAGCTAAAATGAAAGTAAAGGAACGCAGTGCCAAGTCAAGTGGTTCTAGGACAGCACGCCGTGTTCTGCCGTGGCCCCGGAGCCCAGTGCTTCTGGTCCTCAGTGACTCTCTCATCACAAGCAGAAACAGTGGGAATCAAACCTGGGACTCTTCTCGAGATTTCAGCCCAACCTGGGCCCAAAGCCAGCCTCCTGCCACCCTGCAGCCTGGGGCCCCTGCTGGCTGCCTGCTCCTGAGCCCTGAGCCCACCTCACTCCTCCATCCCAGGTGCCCTCCTCGCGGAGCTGGTGAGCTGGCCACGTGCACAGGGGAATGCTGGCCACAGAGACGGGCGTGTGAACTTCAACACACGCTTTCATGTCTCCTCATCACATTCAGGTCATGCGCGGCTGAGTGGTCTACTTTTAAACCTCGTCACATACAAACTTGAACTTGATTTTGGAAGCTGTCTTGTGTAGTGCTGCTTCACTGGACCAGGTGCAGGGCCTGGTGGAAGACCCAGGGGCGCTGTCCATGGTGGTAGGACACCTGCACACCCAAGAGAGCACTGCTTTCCACAAGGGCTCTGTGCAACCTCACAGGCACCTTCCGGCTTAGAACTTGGAACTCAGGGAAGGAAGGGAGGGAGGGAGGGAGGGAGGAGAGAGAGAAGAAAGCAAAGAATCATTTACTAACCTTGGAGAAACCCGGCCATTTACTGGCATGAACACCGGTTGGTCCTGGCTCTCCTCTCTGGACATCTGAGGACCTGAGCAGGGCAGCTGGAGCTAGGACAGTCCAGAAAGTGAGGTTTGGGTTGGGCCTCAATCCTGCCGAGGTGTTTGGGTGCCTACAGCTGTTCTGCGGCAGAGCTGGTCTCCAGGACCACTGACCCTAGGACCCAGCTTCCCTTCCCTCCAACAGCAGGTCTGGCTACACCTCTGGCCGAGAGCAAGAAATCCAAGCACCAGGGAAGACGTCAGCTTCACAGACTAGAGACTTAATGTAGTGAGAAGAGTCCGTCCCAGCAGGTTGAGCCAAACTGCCTGGCGACCTGGCCTTGGCTGTGAGTGGAAAAGGAAGCATAGCCAGCTGACTTTGAAGTCAAAATTCCCTGTGGGTGTGAGGGTGGTCTGACTGTGGCATCGGTCACCTCCTTGATCACCAGGGTTGCCTCAGGGAGCCCGGCTGGTGAGATAGGTGTCCCCTTCGTCCCTCAGAGCTCCCTGTGGAGTCTCCCAAAGCTGCATGCTCAAAGGGGAGGGTATGCAGGTCCCCTCTGGGACCTCCAGGCAAGCTCTTGAAATCATTCGGCTGAGAAAGCATTCCAGGTGTCCAGCCCTGCCAAACAGACTGCAAATGTCCACCAGGAAAGCAGAACACGTCTGGGTGACAAGTCCATGGGTCTTCCCTCGATTTCCATCAAGCTTGACCTAAGGGGTGAAGGGCCCTCCGCTGGACCCTCTGAAGTTTCACTGAGACAATCTGATAACAGGTCAGCAGGAGGGGAAGCACACAGATTTGTGAACACCCCAGGGCCTGCAGGAAGCCGAGCTCTCGGCACCCAGTGGGACTTGGGAGCCATACACCCTCCAGCCTGGGAAAGGGGAAGGGGCTAGTTGATGCCTTTTAGGGGGAGGAGGGCCGGGGAACAAGGTCCTGGCTCTAGTGTCTCTTCCTCTGTGACATGCGTCTAGCCTTCCTTGGTGAATGACATTCCAGACAGAAGATCCCACGTGACTGAGCTCCTCTTTTGTGGATCTGGCCTTAGGTAGGTGAAGGAACTTGGGGAGGCCTCTTTCAGCATCTGCTGACCCCCAAATGCTTTTAATAATGGGCCTTCCAGGGCACTATATTTTGAGGTGACATTCCTTGGACACCCTCAAGCCCCAACCCTTTGTTTTTCTGCAGGTCTAGCCAGCTCCCGCTCCACTTTGGAGCCTCATCTCCTTTCTGGAAACGCGCTGTGCCTGCCCTCCTGTCTCGCCTGCCACGTTGCCGTATTGGAAAGGCCTTCCAAGTCAGTCCTCCCTATTATCCCACCGCTGTGGCCTGGAGTCCCATCTGTGGACTAGCCAGACTCCTAGTCACATATTTGTCGTCACATGCACTGGCTCGAGGCTTTCCATGGTCCCCAGGGCTTGCTCAGCAAAGATGACACTTGATAAATCACTGCAGCGTGATAATGAGGTCATTGATTCCCCTCACGGACGAAGGCCCAAGCACTCACTGTGTGCTCAGACATCGCTCCTGGCCTGGCCAGTGTCTGGAACGCGCCTTGGTTGGCTCTTCAAGGCGCTGAGCTCACTCATCTGGCATCCCCCCGCTTCACGCTGCCCGGAGGACTCTCGTCCTGTTTGGAAGTGGTGAATGCCATGGTTGCTGGTTTGATTTTTAATTACATTCCTCTGACTAACTCAACCTTAAGCTGCCTTATCATACTAAATATCAAATGTGCTTAACTGGTTTTTTGTCTTTATTTTTCTTTTGAGGGGGGTTGGTTTGGGCGCTGGGGATTAAATCCACTGAGCTAAATTCTCAAATTTTTTAAATTTTGAGATCTGCCCTCACTAGCTTGCCCAGGCTCTTCTGGAACTTGGCAATCCTCCTGTATCAGCATCTAGAGTCGTTGGGATTACAGGCGTGTGCCCTTGCACCGGTGCTTAATTGCTTTAAAGAGGTTATATAACACTCTTGGAGATAATTCGGAGGGCCTTAAATCAGAAACCTAGGGAAGGGTGAGAGGGAGGCAGCTGGGGCTAGGGCTCAGAGCCGCTCAGCTTGGACTCTTCCGTTATTTACCCCACGGAGGGGAACCGGAACCGGTGTCTGTTTGCAGACCACACAGCCCTGCCATCATTTCCGTCTGTGACCAACAGCCTCAGGATGTTTGGTTTGATCTCTGTGAAGGTGCTAAAGAACCCTCAAGATTTCCTGGGGGCCCCTCCTCCCAAGCCCCCTCAACTTCCCAGAGCAGCAGGAAGACCTCTCCCTGCTCCTTCCCAACCCCAGCCTCAGCCTCAGCACAGAAGCTAGGCCTCCAGAATCCCCCTCCCAGAACCTCCCCCCCCAGGGGCTGGGGGATTTCCGGCCACTTCCCCCTCTGACTTGGCTGCTGCAGGGGAGAACCTTGGCCTCCTCACCCTTGTTTCTCCCGGGCAGAAAGCCTCCTCCCAACCCAGGGGCCTGTGGCGCCTCCCCCCGGCCCCCGGCTGTGGAGCCACCATGGGCTGTGCACCCTGCAGGGTCCCTTCTGCAGGGAAAGCATGCCCGCCTTCCTGGAGTCCTAGGCTGGGTCTCTGCACTTCTCCAAGGCACCCACTTGTGCAGAGTGCCACGAACTCTTATGAGGAGTTCCTCTGATCAAAATTCAGTGAATTATTTTGAGTGCATCATGATGTTTTCAAGTTCTGAATTTTTGAAAGGGTGGGACATACTTGTAAGGGTTCCCGGGATGATTCTATGTTTCACTTTGGGGAGCCTTCAGTGCCCCGTTGTTTGTGAAACACTAAGCTAGGTGCTGCTGGGAAGGAGTTGGTCAGGTCATTAACATTTATAACCAGCTGACGTAAAGTAAAACTGATGATCCTTGATAATATGGGTGGGCCTTGTCCAAACAGTTGAAGGCCTTCAGAGCAAAATTTTTCCCTGAGAAGAGAGCTCGGTCACCAATCTTACTGGATATAGTACAAAATCCATTGAGAAAGCTGGTAATGGCACGGCAGACTGAAGTCAACCCAGGAGATGGAGCTGAGATGCTACTCAGCTCCTGCTCTCCCAGGCCTGACCGTGAAACCTGCCACCAGCAACACACCAAGTCTGGTCTGGGAAGCAGAGAGGCCCGGACGGGCACTGCCTGCAGAGGGTCTTTGCACCTGTCTGCTGGCCTTCCGAGTCCAGTGCACTGTTCTGAGCCACACTCACTGGAAATGCCTGGCTCCCAACAGGAATTTGAACCCTTCAGTTTGGCTTTGGGGCCTTGTCCAGTCCCCACCAGGTACAGACTTTGGGGCTGTTCATCTTGTGGGTTAGAGAGGCTGATTCCTCCGCTGTGGACAGTAGCCAGGCTTCGACATGTTTGAGGAATATCAGATAGGTACTCCAGAATGTATCATCAATTTGTCTGGTGAAGTATTTTAAAAGGCAATATTTTGTCATGAAGTCTGGCCTACAATCTGTGTTCCCAAATCATGGGAAAGGCAATGACATTCTGGACTTTCCATCGGGACCTGAGGACTCCTTGTCACCTGTCCCTGCTGTCCTCTCATCCTCTTTTCTGCCTGGCCCGTGGAATCACTAAGTTCCACACCCACCATGAACTCCCTCGCATAAGCATGCTGAAGGATTTTTGTCCTTACCAAATGGAATATACTTTGCTTCGTTCCCGTGTTGACCTTGTGAACTCCTGATCGTCCACATCACGGTGACTGAACCCGGTAGGAGTTCATTTTTCACGCACCAGTCTCCCTGGATGCCGTAGTTGGGTGGTACTCCTGGGAAGCTCTCCTCCACGTGCTGATTCAGGGGTCCAGGTCTTTCCATCTCTGGACACTGCCATCCGTAACCATGTCTTCTAAGTTCACTGAGGAAGCACGAGGACAGTATTTTATGCCACAAGCCATTACAAGATCCTGTGACTTCTAACCCTAGAATGTGGGTCAAAACCAATCACCTGGCTTACCCACATGCCACAGAGCTGGGAAATGGAATCTCCTGGATCCCAGGAGAAAAATGAAACCATTCATGTAGGCATAAAAGTATTTCAGCGGCTGGCCACCCTTTTGGTCACCATGTTGCTTTGTTTTTCTTCGGATATCCTGAAACTGCTCACCTTTTCTCCAAGGAAGAGAACACAGGCCCCTGCCGAGTCACAGCATGCTGCTCAAGCCCAGGGCTAATCATTTCCTGAGCTTATTTCTTTCATTTGTCTCTCACAATTCTGAACATTATCAATTCCAGTTAAAACACACTCCTAAAAATCCATTTTGCGATGATGCCCTCATGATCCTGTAGCAATGATGTGTGCTCCCCAAGTCTCTGCAGGTGACCATCTGCTAACCGTTTCAACACAGTGTCATAGATGACGCAGCATGCTGTCCTCCCCACCTCTTGCCCAAATGCTAAGAAAATGGCCACAGCAGAAACCTGTGTCAGAATACCAATATCCATGGTACAAAATAATTCATTCCAGTTGTTGTAAACAACCCGAGATTTCAGTGACTCAACAAAATCAAAGGTTATTTCTTATCCATTTCAGGTCCAAGGAGGTTGTTGAGCTAGGTCATCCTCCTCCAGGCAGTGACTCAGCGAGGCAGGCTCCTTCCTCTGCAGCTCCAGTGCCAGGGTCTGTGCTGGAGAGTGCCTATCATGGGATGAGATAGATGGGAGGCCAAGCAAAGTGGCCCTCAGAGTCTGTCCTTGGCAGGAAGGATGGGTTTATTACTAAGCGAAAATTGGGGGGGTTGTGTATGGCAAATTTTCTATGAAAAACGAAAGCCTCTTTACGATCTTTTTCAGCTAATCAAGTGGGAAGAGTACTCCCTTCCCAGCCCCCATACACACTTGGTGGCTTAGCATTTTGAGGTGCATTATTCTCAAAACAATGAAAGCTCTCAGTAGAGACTACTTATCTTTTCTTTGAATAGCACCTCTCATCTTGAATGCAGTTGTCATTTTTAATACAACAAAAGCCCCCTAAATATGGGGCACTGGAAATTCTCAGGACCCAAGTGGCCAGTTAATCCTGGGAAGGTGGTGGGAGGTTCTCTGTACCCTGACGGCTCAGGATTGTGCTCTGAGACTTCTCTGTTCAAGGACCCCAGGACAGAGAACCTTCCCATTCAGACAGAACCATTTCCAATTAACCAATAGGAAGGTACAGAATGAGGGGGAAAGCCCACTAGTTCCCTACTACCCTAAGAAACAGAGGGCTGGAGATAGTCTGCCTGCAGGGATTTGGAACATCCCCTGAGATGTCTCTGGCTCTCAAGGATGGGGTGTGTGGGCGTGGACGCTGAGGCTTCCGATGACCTGACCTGACCCGTCAATGTCTATGGGGAGGCACCCACATCTGGGAGATGCCTTCGGGCCCGGACTTTGCACATTTGTGTTCATCTACATGGAAGTGTTTTGTCTAAAACACTCGGAGTGTTGTGACAATTTTCTGTCAGATAGACGTAGAGTGTCTTGAACAAGGGCACCTTTCAGAACCTGCCCACAGCCCCAGCTGAGCTCCCTGCATCTGCAGGGGCCAGCCACACACCAGCCCTCCCCTCCGGGGACCGGCTTGGGGAGGGGATCGAGCTGTGCACAGGGTGGTCCTTGTGGATGGAAACTTGACCCTGGAAAATGACCTCTGGTTATAGCCTTAGAGAGATTGTCCAGCCAGAGCCACTGCAATGCAGCTCCCTGGACAGGAGGCAGGGAAGCTCAGCCCCAGGGACCAGGGCACAGGAGACATGAAGTCTCCAGGGCCAGGCTGGCTGGCTTTCCCCTCCTCCCACCCAGCTGACTCATGGTGTGGTTGTACAAAGCCTGCCGAATGAGCAAAAGCCCTCTTTTCACTGTTGAGCTATTATTCCTTTAACGAATACATTTTGTGCTTTTGAGTTTTAATTTTATAGAAAATTGGGCAAAAACTACAGAGTTCTCATCTAGCTCTCTTTCCCTGAAAGTTTTCCCTACGCTCAGTATCACGCATCCTGTAGTACCTTTGTTACAATTGATTAATAATATAGTAACCGTTAAAATAAAGTAAAAACTAAGTGACATTTAAATGTAATCAGTAAGGTCAACTTACCATAATGGTTAATTTGAATTGTCAGCGGGATTGGATTGAGATGCCTAAGATGAAGAGGCTTCTGGATATGTCAGTGAGGGTGTGTGTAGGAACGATGGCAAGTGGGATAGTGAACTAGAGTGGAGACCCTCCCTAAGCGTGGGCAGCACCATCCAATAGGTTAGAGGCTTGGATGGAATGAATTTGGAAGAACAAGGAGGCAGCAGCAAATGCAGTATAATTCTTCTTTTCAAAAATTTGTTCTTTTTAGTCATACATGAGAGTAGAGAGTATTTTATGTATCATACATACATGAAGTATAACTTCCCATTCTTGTGGTTGTACCTGATGTGGAGTTACACTGATTGTGCAGTCAGATATAAACATAGGAAAGTTATGTCCAATTCATCTTACTGTCTTTCTCATCCCCATCTCCCCTCCCTTCCCCCCAATCCCCTGTCCAGTCTGGTGAACCTCCATTCCCCCCACTATTGTGAGTCAGCATCTGCATATCAGAAAGAACATTCAGCCTTTGGTCTTTGGGGATTGGCTTATTTTACTTAACATGATAGTCCCCAGTTCCATCCATTTACTGTCAAATGCCATAATTTTATTCTGCTTTATGGCTGAGTAATATTCCATTGTGTATATGTACCATTTTTTTTTATCCATTCATCTGGTGAAGGGCATCTAGATTGGTTCCAAGCTTAGCTACTGTGAATTGAGCTGCTATGAACATTGATGTGGTTGTGCCACTATAGTATGGTGATTTTAAGTCCTTTGGGTATATGGTGAGGAATGGGATAAGTGGGTCAAATTATGGTCTCATTTCTAGTTTTTTGAGGAATCTCCATACTGCTTTCCAGAGTGGTTGCACCAATTTGCAGTCCCACCAGGAATGTGTAAGTATGCCTTTTCCCCCATATCCTTGCCAACATTTATTGTGGCTTGTATTTTTTTTTAGTTATTGATGAACCTTTATTTTATTCATTTATTTATATGTGGTGCTGAGAATCAAACCCAGCTCCTCATGCATGTGAGGCAAGAGCTCTACCATTGAGCCACAACCCCAGCCCTTGACTTCGATTTTTGATAATTGCTATTCTGACTGGAGTGAGATGGAATCTCAGTGTAATTTTAATTTGCATTTCTCTAATTGCTAGTGATGTTGAACATTTTTTTTCATGTATTTGTTGAGCATTCATATTTCTTCTTCTGAAAAGGGTCTGTTCAGTTCCTTTGCCCATTTATTGATTGTGTTATTTGTGGGGTTTTTTTTTTTTGGTGTTAAGTTTTTGTATATCTTGGAGATTAATGCCCTACCCAGGTGCAGGTGACAAAGATTTTCTCCCATTTTGTAGATTCTCTCTTCACATTCTTTATTATTTTCTTTGCTGTGAAGAAGCTTTGTAGTTTGATTCAATACCATTTATTGGTTCTTTTTTTTTTAAAGAGAGAGTGAGAGAGGAGGGAGAGAGAGAGAGAGAAGTCATTGATGGATAAAATATTCTAAATATGTCTGTTGAGTCTAGATTATTATTATTGTATTTTTTAGTTTTATAGCTTCTTTATCTAGTTTTTATTTGGAGGATCTATCCAATGGTGATAGAAGTGGTTAAAGTCACCCAGTATTATTGTGTTGTGGTCTATTTGCATCTTGAAATTGAGAAATGTTTGTTTGATGTACATAGATGCTCCATTGTTGGGGCATACATATTTACGATTGTTGTGTCTCATTGATATATAATTCCCTTATACAGTATGAAACATCCTTCTTTTTCCCTCCTGATTAACTTTGGCTTGAAGTCCACTTTATCTGATAAGAGGATAGAAACCCTTGCTTGTTTATGAGATTCATGTTAATGTTATGTTTTTTCACATCCTTTTACTTTTAGCCTTATTGATGTCTTTGCCTATGAGGTGAGTCTCTTGGAGACAGCATATTGTTGGGTCTTGTTTTTAAATCCAATTTTACCAGGTTATTTCTTTTGATTGAGGAGTTTAGGCCTTTTACATTCAATGTTATTATTGAGATATGATTTTTATTCCTTACAATTTTGATTTATTTCTGTTTTTTAAATTTGAATTTGTTTCTCCATCGATTCACTGATATTTTAGTGTAGTTACTCCCTTTGCTGGTTTTCAATTTTATTTTTCATTTCTTGTTCAAGAAATATCTTAAAGTATGTTCTATAGTGCAGCTTTGCTAGTTGTGAATGCTTCTAACTTTTGTTTATCATGGAAAGTTTTTATTTCATCATTAATTCTGAAGCTTTATTTTTCTGGGTATAGAATTCTTGTCTAGCACCCATTTTCTTTCAGAGCTTGGGATATATTATTCCAAGGCCTCCTAGCTTTGAGGATCTGGAATGAGAGATCAGCTGAGATCCAGATGGGTTTTCCTCTAAATGTTACCTGTCATTTTTCTCTGGAAGCCTTTAAAAAATTCTATCCTTATTTTGTATGTTAGGCATTTTCATAATAATGTACCTTGGTGTGGATTTGTTGTAATTTTGATATTTGGGGTCCTGTAAGCCTTCTGTATTTGATTTTCCATTTCATTCTTCATGATTAGGATTTTTTGACATTATTTCATTGAGAAATTTTGTTTGTATCTGTGAGCTTTCATCTATCCCATTCATTTTGTTTGTATCTCTGAGCCTTCATCTATCCCATTCATTTTGTTTGTATCTCTGAGCCTTCATCTATCCCAATAAATCTTAAATTTGGTCTTTTCAGGTTATCTCATAATTCCTGGAAGTTCTGTTTGCGATTTCTTAACATCTTTTCTCCATGGTCAACTTTGTTTCAAGATTATATATTTTGTTGTCATTGTCTGAAACTGTCTTCTAAGTGATTAGTCTGTTGGTGATGCTTTTAATTATTTTAATCGGTTTATTGATTTCTTCATTTTGAGGATTTATGATATTTTTCAGACTCTCTCTTTATTAAAGTGATATTTCACACCATGCATTTTCTCTCTGATTTTACTCCTTCCTTTACCTCACAGATCAGTTTAACTATGTACATTCTAAACTACTTCTCTTATATTTCTTCCACTGTCATGCTGATGGATTCTGTTTTTGGAGTATTTTGGTTTGTTTTGGGCTATTTGTTCCTTTGCTTTTCAATGTTGTTTTTGTGTCTACCCATTTAACAGTATGGATCTGAAGGAATAGAGTTTCTGCCCTGTGGACTTATATTGTCTCTAAATTTTCCGATACCTTACTCTTCACAGGAGACAAATAATAACAACATCCAGTGCAAAAATATAAAACATTTAAACCAGATAGTTCCTACTATGATGCCTACAATATTAATTATCACAACCAACAGAAATGATATGATCAGTTATTGCCCACAATTAAAACAATAAGTTTGCAAAAGAGTTTATAATTTCAGATGGTATACAGGGAAAGAATAGAAGTGATATAGGATGAGATGATTATGAAGGAGAAGGAGAGAAGATAGAGGTAAAAACTTAAAGGAAGAGTGAAAGAGAGAACAATATAGATTGGCTGTTTGTGGAAGAAATGAGAGAAGGAGAATTAGGGGAACAGGTAAAAGAAAAAAAATACATATATATATATATATATAAACTAAAATATACTAATCAAACAACTCAGACATCCTATTCCTCAAAAAACTTACCCATGAAAAATAATTGAAATGAGACAAGAGACAAATATGAGTATGTATAAATGTCCATGTACTCTTAAGGTCACAATTAAATAGAGAAAAAGAAAAAAGAGGAAACAGAATCTCAATAAAAAGCTAAAGAATTCTTTTATTTGCAGTTCAGAAGATTTTCAGCAGTTTTAGGTGGGGTTACCTGGAATATGATCCTCCACCCTCTGGATTGCTGGAAGGAGAGAGGTAATCTGGTAGGTGGAATTCCTTGAAGAAGGGTTTAGGCTTAGGTGGGCTACAGGATCTTCGATGAATGCCAACTGGTCTGAGATTTTAATTCAGCACAACACGTCCAGGGCTTAGTAATTGCCAACTCATGCTGGAAAACTGTACCCCAGGATCTCCCCTGGGTTCCACTCACGTGGTGGAAGAGCCAATTCTAGACTAGTCCCTGATGTCACCTGTGGCCCCCACATTTCCTGGTCTTGGGTTCAGTCTCCAAACTCCCTCCCTCCCCTGCCTTTCGAATTCACAGCCAGATGTGTCTCTCTCAGCTGGTCCTGCGAGCAGCTGGATTGGAGGGGGAGGGGGAGAGTTGCGTGGGTTTCCATGACTAGTTGTCTCCTGTGTAAAACTCTCTCCAAGTTTAATTTCCCCTTGGTCACTTAAGCACACTCTATGTCATGCAGGAGTGGGCTCCCTCTGCGGCTGGCCCCTGTGTTGCAGCTGCACAATGCTTCCATCCTTTGACCTCTGCATGCTGCCTGGGGACATGGTGGTTTCTGTCCTGCACAAGGATATGTGCAGCACACCTTTCAGTTTAATTGTGCAATGTCTTTGATCTCTAAATGCTCCCCTCCAACATGCCTCAGGATTCTTAAAAAATGGGTTCCTTTAATTCCTTTATCCCTCCACTTTGCTCAGGGAGGAACCTCACTGGCTGGTGCTTCTGGCCCGGCGTTGGCAGCTGCTGTGACTCTGGAGATTTCTTCCTTATTTTATTATATACAAATTCCTATATCCCTGATTTGCTAGTGACTCCCCAAGAACAGAGACTGGGTGTGGTAGCATATGCCTGTAATCCCAGTGGCTCAGGAGGCTCAGGTAGGAAGATCGCAAGTTCAAAGCCAGCTTCAGCAACAGCAAGGCACTGAGCAACTCAGTGAGACCCTGTCTCTAAATAAAATACAAAATAGGGCTGGGATGTAGCTCAGGGGTCACTTGGCCCCTGAGTTCAATCCCTGGTACCAAAAAAATAAAAAATAAAAATAATAAAGAACATCACACAGTTCTGACCATATGTACAGTAGGCAGCCTTTTCAGATTGGTTTCTTTCACTTAGCATTTGCACTTAGTTCTTGCTTGCCTTTTCCTAGCTTAGTATCTCTGTTGTATGGAGGTATTACAGTCTCTTCGCCCACCTCTGTTGTATTGGAGCATGTTCCCCTTGCTTTCCCTTGTTGCCAATTTTGAGAGTTTGCAGGTTTTTATGTGAATATGTTTTCAACTCCTTTGTGTAAACCTAAAAGCTCACTGTTGGATCAACTGATAAGACTATGTTTAGTTTTGTAATTAAAGAATTGCCAGAATGTCTTCTCACATGGCTTTACCATTGTGCATTCTGACAGCTGTAAATGAAATTTCCACTACTCCACATCCTCACCAGCAGTCTTTGC